GGTTTTTTGTTGCTACTGCTAAAAAAAATGCTTCAAAATATTTTTTTAGGATTATATTTCAGACAGTTTATTCAAATGATACATTGATAAGGCATTTATTCATTATATTTTGACAAAATGCAATTTTTGCAACTGTTTAAATCAAAACCCTATCTGCCTGTTTCTTCACATTCTACTTTTGGACTTAATCCTGGTTTCGATGTGATGGCTCACATATGTTGAATTATTATATGGGTTCTGTGAGCAGATCTATTCTGTTCTGCAGTTTGGCTTTCGCCTTTCCCCGGCTTTTGGGTTTTCTTCATGCTATCATTAGCATCTGAGAGATACCAGCCACCAAGAGACCACCAACAAGGCTAAATTATATGGCCAGCAGCTGTTTGAAACATTGTTGTGGTTTAACATCACGCACACGTATTGATGGAAACGTGGCCTATTTTATGCTGGGTCAGCACTTTAAGTGAACGCTCTGACGCACATTTGCAGCGATATGTTAAAAAGGTCAGCACAGATGGGCAGGAGTCTTTACAGCGAAACAGTTGTGTTTAAAAAAAACAAGGCACTATGTTTGCATCCCTGCACACTGGAGCGCGTCGATACAAATATTGTGAACATGATGCAAAACAGGTTATTCAGCATTTAACGCATGCGTTGCATAACAGTTGCTATTCTTTTCAGGTTGTGATGCAGCTCATTCGTCTTCTCCCCGATGGCCACAAGATGAAGAAGGAGGTGGACATGGCACTGGATATCGTCAGCGAGACCATGACCCCCATGCACTATCATCTGAGAGAGATTATTATCTGCACTTACAGACAGGTACATCAAACTAACAGAAAAGGAGAATAAGTGGGGGGGTTTAATCCGCCTTTTTTCTAGGATGCAGGAAAACTGTTTAATTTGAAACATGAATAATAGTTGGAAATTAAATTGAAAGTCAGAGCTGAGAATTTGAGTCTAGATTTGGACATTAAAGTTCAAAAATGATTAATAATTTGGTAGCATATTTTTTTTCTCTAAAGAGACTGATTCATATAATAAACACTTCCTTTATGAATAATGATTTCACAGAAATAAGCTGCATGTTGAGGTTTTAGTTGCAGTTTCACTTGACGCCCTGTAGGTGGCCTGAAGAGCTAGTTTTATGGCTGGAGTTTGGTTCCTCGAGTGTCAGTGAGAAGCATCTACTGCTGTGTAAAGGATGCTGAGAGCTGAAACTGATTGTAACTCAGCTTATTTCTAAAACCCAACAGACTTCTTTTAGTTTCACATTGTTTACAGTGAGATAGGAAAAAGGCAGAAAAAGAAAGGAATTCTGAGGCTTTATTTGTTGAAATTTCGTGTTCCAAGTTTAATCATGAGCAACTATATTAGTTTCAGTTGCTTACTTTTCCAGACAAATTGAAGGTTAAGAATCCTATTTTTTATAAACAAGGTTAAACAACAAGATAGACTCCCCAAGATAGAAAAAACTTTTATATTTTGAAGAATTTACCTCTGGGAAGCCTTCTCTGTAGTTTTGTTTTTGTGTTAAATGAGGCACAAACAAAGGAAAAACAAATTGTACCAAGAGTCTTCTCTCGTGATTTTTTTTTATTTTTTTTATTTTTTTTGTATCTTCAGAAGGACTAATACTACACTGTTTTAGCCATTTGTGATGCAGACTAATAATAGTGGCCCTGCGCACCGTCAGCCGCTCTCGGCACGCTGGAGGCACCCGGTCCTGTCTCCACCATATCAATGGGCCTCATTGTCCTCTGAACTCTGCCTTTTACACATATTCTCTCTCTGCTTGTCATGTCCTGATGTTATGTTCCAGGAAAAAGGTAAAAGGAAAAAAACTTAATGTCTACTCACTTTCCAGTTATTACAATAATGTGTGTTGATCAAAGGAAAAATACTAGATGAAAAACTTTATTTCAACTGGAAAACCAAATTTGTTGTACATTTTACTTTTATTATCTCGGAGGATCTTCRGTTGTCACTGTGCTCATGTTGCAGTTTTTCTCTGTCTGTCTGAACCACCGGGCCAAGCCATAAACAGTGCCAGATGTTGCTAAATGGGGAGGCAGCAGAAAAGAGAAAATGTGGGGGGGAAAGGGAAAGTTTTATACCCCCACCTTGAGCCCTCCTCCTATAAAGCACTGCTCTTTCTTTGACAGTGGTTGGAAAAGTGTGTCGTTAATACGCTGGGACACAATTCCTCCAACACTAATCCCTCAAAGCCGATAAATACAGGGGGCAACACAGTGGGGTACTCTCTTTCTTCTTCTTCTGTCTCCTGGACCGAAATTATCCGGATTGGCTTTTCTGTTTGAGAGAATTGATTTARTGACTGTTTCCTTTGATTCTACCCAGTTTTATTGGGAAGTCTTGCTTGTTCATTGCTTCTATGATTGGCATTGTCTCTATCGTAAAATGTCCATTTATTTCCAGCTTTTCTCTCCTTCTGGTTTGACTGTTGGAGCTGCTGCATCATAGGCCTGCACCTTCTGTGTTTCCTATTATAATACCACACTTCAATAAACAGTTACATTTCTCTGCCTTTCCAGGACATCATCAGTTAGCTCAGCATGCCCAGTGTTAGCTTTCATTTGAGCAGGCTGCAGATTGCACAGCTTTGACTGATTTATTTCCAAGCAGCATACACTCTGTGACCCAAGAGCATGATCACTGAAGATCACTGGCTTCCACCCAGCCTATTAAGAGGTTGTTGAAAACTTTCGAACCAGACGAGTCTCAGAAACTCGAATCGAAATCCTTATTTGCCTGCAAAGGTCGGTGCCGTTATTTTCTGGTCAGCTTTTGTCCAAAAAAATAAAATAAAAATTAGTGAAGGTTTTCCACTCAGGTGCTGAGAAACACAAGGACTGAGAGTGGGAGAGCTACGAATCATGCTTCCTCTCTGGGCCTGCRCGTGTGTGTCCAAAGAAAGGCGCTCATGGTTTGGACGGGGCAGTGGAAAAATATTTTTTGAGATGTGAGCAGGTTTTCTTAGGGAGAAGGTAGAGCGCGTCTGTTGGAGAGARGCCGGAGAAGCAACTAGGAAGTTCACGGATGTTGATAGGAATGCTGTTTTCCCGACAGCAGRATCTATTTAACAAAGAAAATACAGTAAAGAAACTGAGAATTTGGATCAGATAGGAGTAAAGTAGCAGAGTAATGGGCAGCTTGCAATGCTCTGTTTTGGATTAATTTTGCAGAATTGCACTTTTTTTCCCTAACTGTATCTCTTTGGTTCAAGGGTTTTACGGCAAAGTTTTTTTCTCTCATTTTGAATGAGATCAGTCAACAAACTGGGACAACTGAAAGGTGGAGCTCATAACAGCCTGCAGATTTATTGACAGGGCAACAAACCCACCAAGTCAAAGTTAAGTTCTGCTTAATTGAGATGTGTTTTGGCTCCCACTTGGGGCCCAAAGGCTCTGATTTRGAGCCAGCACAGGGTGGTAGTAATAAGTCCAAGGACATCCTTGTTTTCACTCATAATGAACATCTTTCCATGTGGAAATCCCAGCAGCAGCATTTGTTTATCTCAGCGGGTGCGTGCACCTGACGTTAATTACCTCGTCTTTCTCTGCGAACAATGAGAATCAAACTGTGTTGTCTGACAGCACTCTTACTGGTAAAAATGTACCTTCACTGTGCAGTTCTCAAGCCTGTTTGTGAGTGACAGCAGGATAATCACAGCTGCTTTGACTCGTTTAATTACTTATTCAGTATTCATGACTCAGGCAGACTGTAGAGTTTTTATTAAGCTCACTGTGGGTGTGCATGTATAAGGGAATTATTGTTTGACCTTTAAATCTAAAGAAACACTCAAATTTTTGTGTTTATTTTARTTTTATTTAGAGGACCAGAGACAAGAAAAAATAATGAAGAAATATAAGAATAAAATAATAAAATTCTAATAAAGGAAAAAAAATGGAATAATAAAAGCACAACTACATTATGTATTAACCAAAATAAATAAATACAGATGAGAGCAAAATATTGAAACATTAGTAAACATTTTTTTATTTCGCATTTGATAGTTTTTTTGTATTTCTGAACATTTCAGGATATTCTTTTTACTGAGACATTTACGTGATTTAGAATTATTGCAGTTTTTAGTCCCCYCATATTTTTTACAGTAATAATGTGTGAGCTGCAAAATTTCTTAATTTCTGTTTTTGGAAAAAAAATGTACATATAACCAAAAAGCTCCCATTAATGACAGGTCTGTTAAGTCATTTGCAGGCATGCAGTTTTATCCTGATTTTAAAGTTTTGTTTTGCCAACTAAAAATGGTCTAAAATGACTTTATGACCTAAAGATTTTGCCTCTGAAAGTTAGAACGTCAGTTATAATGAACGTTGAGGACCATTATCTTCTTTTTTCATCTTTCATCTTTTTTTTTWAAAAAACAGTAGAAGTTGGTTAATTGAGCCCATTCTCCACTAACATTTGTTCTTTTACCTGCTGCAGACCTTCAAAGTAACATTTATCCACCTCCACCCATGCAGAGTTATTTTCATTAACTTTTGTGTCTTGTTTTCTCTAAATATACTTTATATTTGGCCAAAAGTGTCTCACTGTTTATAAATGTTTATTAGTTTCTGTAATCGATGTTGTCTCTGCAGTTAAAAAGAATAATGATAATCTGATTAGCCGTTTTTTTTTCTGTCATGGTCATATTAGTCTTGCAATAGCAATATGTTTCATCCATTATCTATACCTGCTTCTTCCTGTCAGGGTCACATGGGTCACTGGTGCCCATATCCAGCAGTCAGAGTGCGAGGGGTGGGGTACACCCTGGACAGGTCGCAAGTCACAGGGTCACATAGAGACAAACAACCATTCACTCTCACTCACACCTAGGGACAATTTAGATTTACCAATTAACCTAACAGTCATGTTTTTGGTCTGTGGGAGGAAGCTGGAGTGCCCGGAGAGAACTCACGCATGCACAGAGAGAACATGCAAACTCCACCCAGAAAGGTCCCTGGGCCGGAATTTGATCCGGCAACCTTCTTGCTGAGAGGCATCATCTCTACCAGCTGAGCCACTGTGCCACCCGGAATATGTTTTAAATGTATTAAAATTACATAAATAAATGTAGTGTACTTATATAGCACCTTTCTATCCAACCAGGATAAATGCTTCACACTACAGTCTACGTCCTCATTTATACATTCACACAGCACTCTACTAGGTCTCTACAAAGCTAACATGTAAAATCATCTATGGAGACTAATTAGTGCTAATCACATTCATACACTGGGACACATCAGAGGCATTAGGGGTGAAGTATCTTGCCCAAGGACACAACAACTGAGACAGCTGGAACGGGGTCGATCCGGCAACCTACCGTTTCCAGGATGACTCCCCTAAACACCCTGCCACAGCCGCCCCAAATGTCTCTGTTTCGCTACAAAAAGGAAATAAAAATGTTCCAAAAAAGGCAAAATGGTTTGTTGCCTTGAAGTCACATCAATTACAGTATATCAACTACTCTCATGCTGTCTTAAACTGCCCGAGTAAATGTTCAACTGTAGCAACAAAGTCTCAGCCAATGACTGCAGTGATCTTAATGCTGTGCTTACGTCATACTTCACCTGTCTTTTTTTTCTGCTCTCCAGTCTATTCACTTGACCTGAGTAACAGAACATTTCAAACAAGCATTTTTCTAACAGCACACTTCAGAACAGTGGTTCCCCTTGATATTTTTCTTCACAGAGCATATTGATTTAGAAGTTAATCTTATGCCAACACACGTGATGGCTGGTAAGATCGCTCCCTGGACCAAGTGCCATAACTATGGTTAATAAACCCAACCT